GCCACACACACACACACACACACACACACACACATAAATAAAATAAATAAATTTAAAAAATTATAAAAAAAAAAATTCAGTATAGATTAAGTCAGTGATCAAATAGAGAAACTGTTAAGATTCTTCTGGTGGGCCCTGGGTCACCACACCTGTAATCAGCATTTGGGAGGCTGAGGAAGGAGGGTCATTGAGTTTCTAGGTTAAACTGGGCTCCAGAGTGAGTTCAAGGCCTGGAACTACATAGTGAGCTGCTCCTTCTGCCCCCAAGAATCACTGGATCGTTTAGTATACAGAGACATTTTGGTAGACCTTACAGAAAATGGCATTCTCCCGCATGACCTTCAGAAATCGAACCTGAGGCATTAGCTGCAGTGACCGTTCCTGTCCCATCTGTGAGAAAATAAGGCTTTAGCTTGGACATCCCTTCAAGGTTACTCCCGTGGCGAGGAAACTCATCTACTTTAACTTCAGTGAGACCTGGAAGGAATAAAATCAGTTACCTGACAGAAGTGCTGAGACATCAGTGCTGCGAATGGTAATCACGAGGATTCACATTTGATAGAAAATGTTACTATTTATTCACTTGCATTACGGCTGAAAGCACACACAAGAATTACTGTATGTTAAAACATGAGAATTTCTATCCTTGAGACATTTTGAATGTTTTATAAATTCATCGCCCTTCCTGAGGAAAACAGGCTGGTGTGGCATACAGGGAGCTCTGTGTTGAAAAGGTCGGAAGGTTTGGGTCACACATACCTGTCACTAGGGAGTTATGTTAACAGGTTCATATGGGTTGGACAGCACTTACCAGTGGGAAGCTGGCTGCAGCATTCTGTGTTAGATAAGGACAAGTGACCTCAAAGGTCCAGCCTCCAGCATATGAGACGTACACAGAACCGACAGGGAAGAACAGATGTTCACTTCTAAACAGGCTTACTGTAGCCCATACGGGGAACAAGGCAGCAGCTGCCTCCTAACAGCCATGAGCCAAAAAGTCCCGTTTCTCATGAAATCTGCTGATAACACAACAGCAGCTGTGGACACTCAGGCTGTGGGTCTGTCATGTTAACTATGTCCCACCAAACACAGCATCCTCTTCCCCTCATTCAGATGTATGTAGGATATATCTTTGCAACCTGAAAAACTATTCTTTTGGATGTTACTTTAACTTATAAGTGGGTTGAAGTTTAAATGTCCATTTATATACCTACCTTTTCTAGATGACACAAAAACTGGTACAATCTCTTTGTCAAAATGGCCAGCTTTCTGTGCACCCTCTGTCCTGTTCTGAGATAGAACAGCAACCTTGTCTTGAGCTTCTCTACTCACTTGCCATTTTTTGGCTACATTTTCAGCTGGGAAAAAGAAAAAAGGGAAAAACCAGCTTCATGAACTAGCTCTTGGTAGGTAGTTCAAGCCATTCGCCCCCGTGTATTCCCAGGTTCCACTAAGGCTTACACGGCAGTTCTTTGTGGGGGAGCCTGCATTCCTCTAAGGAAATTACTTTTGCTTTTGCAGTACTGGATGTGAAACCCAGCCCTGTGCATGGGAGAAAGATGCTTTACCCCTCAGTCTTATTTTTTTTTTTTTCCTCAGTCCTATTTTCTTTGAGATAGGGTCTCACTTTGTAGCCTACACTCACCTGAAACTCGGAACCCTCCAGCCTCAGCCGAGTGTTGGCATTACAGGCATCTGCTTGACTCTGAAGCCCTTTATTTTTTACCTGTACTTCAAGACAGAGGGCCACTTACCTTGTCCAGACTAATTTCCAATTTGACACCCTCCTGCCTCGGTCTCATGAGTATCTGGGATTACACCATTCCACAAAGTTAGGATTGTCACTGGTTTCCTCACTACCACTAAGCCTGTTCAATAAGAACTCATACGGGCCTGGGAAGATAGCTCAGTGGAATAAGCACTTGCCTGACAAGCACAAGGGCCTGAGTTCAATCCCCAGTTCTACCAAAAATCAATCAATCAATCAATCAATCAATCAATCAATGCAAAACAGAACTGTGTACAACTTTTAAAAAAAACTCATACATATATCCACACAATTCATAATTTTACATATAGACACATGGTGCCAGCCTGAATTTATGTTACTTATGAATGCAATCTCACACCACAAGCCACATTTGAGGTGTTCTTTTCTCTTGTACTCTTTTTCTCCAAGCAAGAAGCCTGGGCTCCATTATCCTCAAAATATTTATTCATTTGCTCAAACTTGAATACATGGAAGGTGGTTTCAGATTTGCCAACCCATACCACTTTTTTAAAAATTTTGTGCAGGGTCTCACTACGCAGCTTGGACTCATAATGATCCTCCTGTTTTCAGCCTCCCCAGCGCTAGGATTACAGGCATGAGCCACCACGCCTGGACTCTGTTGCCCAGCTCAGCGCATTTCAGGGGTGGGGCTTGCGTGGCATACAGGACTGGGGATTGAGTCCTGGTCCTTGTGCTTGCCAAAGCAGGCACTTAGTCCACTGAGCTATCTTGCTGGTCCTAGATTAACTTTTTTTTTATTAATTTAGGACAGGGTCTATAGGGTGTACAGGGTTTGATTACGCAGATCAGACTCAGTGATTCTTCTGTTTTCAGCCTCCAAAGCGCTGGGATTATAGATGTGTGCCACCAAGCCCAGTCTCAATCCCGTCTCAGTGCTCCCCAGGGGCAGGGCCAGCATGGCATGCCAGGGATTGACTCCCGGCTGCTGTGCTCTCCCAAAGCAGGAGCTTTAGTCTGTTGAGCTGTCTGGCTGGCCCAGTGGATTAACTTTTAAATGGTTAAAACCTGCCATCTTAGTTGTCCACTCTCTGGCATTCATCTTCTTAGCCTGTCTTGTAGTTGATCACTTTGCACTGATATCTGACCTCTGCCAGGCTTGTGAGACAGACTTAACATGGTCACTGTGAGGGCCCGTGAGGATAGTCTGTGAACTGCTTGTCTTGTTTTTGAGACACAGTCTCAAAATGCAGTTCAGGCTGGCTTTGGACTCCTTATGTACCCCATGCTGGCCTCGAACTCAGAATTCTGCCTCAGCCTCCCAAGTACTAGGATTACAGGTATGCACCACCATGCCCAGAGTTCAAGATCCATCCACCAAAGGCCTGTTCTGAACAATAACATCTACACCTGGGATGACTTTCTGGCATGAGGCCTGAAGAGATGCAGGCCACCAAGCCAACCTCCATGGAGTCCTTGAATCCCATGTGCTTCCCAGGACCCTTTGGGCACCATTCCCAGCCTCAGCTTCCTGACCAAATGAGAAGCAGCATGGCCTGCAACAGCGAGACTCAGTGTTACTACATGGTCTTTCCCAACTTTTCTGAGTTATGCTTGCAGCTATGTCTGCCTTACCAGTTATGCCCATATGGTAATTGTGAAATGCATCTGTAAGGCCATCACAAAGTATACTGTCCCGTAACGGCATCTCACCAATCTTCATTCCCGCCCTCAAGTGAACCAAGTGAGGAGCCTGGAAACAGGAATAAAAATGGATTTAGGCTTGGCTGTCATCAGTCTTCCCCTTGGTATACTACTGAGAATGACCTAGTATTTCTGTGGCTTAGTCCCCCTTGCAGCTCTTCCTCACTAGGACCAGAAGGCCCCTAGGACTAGTGGACAATCCCACCCTCCCTAGGCTTGCAACCCACCACTCCCTTACCTCCCCATTTCCATATCCTTCAATCTTCTCTGTTCTGTGTTTTATGGTGATACCCAAGTTGTCAAACAGCTCAAAGCTCGAATTTTCTACTACTGAAATAGCAAAGTTTGAAAAAATAGGCTTGGTGTTTATAACTTTGCTCAATAGTAGGATCAAAACATCCCACTTTTTTTTTCCATGCAGGGTCTACGCAGCTTGAACTTGTAGTGATCTTCCTGTTTTCAGCCTCCCCAGCGCTGGGACTACAGGTATGCACCACTACGCCCAGACTCCATTGCTAGCTCAGCATGCCTGGGGGCGGGGCTGGTGCAGCATGTGGTGCCAGGGATTGAATCCTGGTCCCTGCCCTTGCCTAAGCAGGCACCAGTCCATTGAACTATCTTCCCAGCCCTGTGTCATTGTTTTTATTTTTACTTATTTATTTTTTTTAGTGGAACTGGTGATTGAACTCAGGCCTTTTCACTTGCTAGGCAATCACTTATTCTACTGAGCTATCTCACCGGCCCCTGTGTTACTGTTTTGATGGGTCAAATAATGCCAAAAGTGAGAATTAGGTTGCCTATACTGCTAGGGATTTCTGAATAGAGGGAGTTCAGATTTTTTTCCCTTGAGACAGGATCTCACTGTAAAGCCCAGGCTAGACTTGAACTTGCTCTGTAGCTCAGGCTGGTCTCAAATGCAAAATCCTCCTGTCTCAGCATGAATCATGTGTAACCATGCCCACCTAAAAAAATAAAAGGCAACATCTGATTTAGTCTTTTCCTTACAAAAGGAAGTAAATTTACAACCAAAGCTATCATGCAAGTAATAGTATGTTTTTTGCGGTGTCAGGCATTGACCCAAGAACTTCAGACTAAGCTATATCCTCAGACCTTATTACTTTGAGATAGGTTCTCACTAAGTCTCTAATTTTCCCAAACTAGGCTCCAACTCACAATCTTGCCTCCGCCTCCCAATGTGCTGGATTACAGTTGTCTACTACCATGCCCCCTTATAATATGGGCTTAATTTGGGCAATACATAATATCTTAATAACAACAATTTAAAAGTAACAGGGCTGGTGAGATGGCTCAGTGGTCTAAAGCACCTACTTAGAACAAGCTAAGCAAAAGCACAGGGACCACGGTTCAATCCCCAGCACCACATGCCAGCCAGCCCCACCCCCTGGTGGGCTGAACTGGCCACATACACACTAAATAAATAAATAAATAAATAAAAAAACAAAATAAAAGAAATATATCTGAGCCCAGCTGCTCTCGTTAATAGGCTTTTTCTTCACATAGACTTTCCCATTTGGAGAATGAATGTTCATGTAGGGGTCAAGGATGAGTTCCAATTTAGTTCGCTTTTCAGCTTTAGTTTAATTCTAGCTCTGATATGCAGCAGGCTGCTGCTCACCAGCCAGTTGTTTAGGGGAAAGGCAGTGAGAGGCATCTTCCCAAGGCTTACCTTGCTCATATTCTCCATGCCTCCTGCAACCACAATACTGGAGTCACCAATCCTTATGGACTGGGCAGCGAGGCACACGGCTTTCAGGCCTGACCCACAGATCATCTGGCAGCTCCATGCTGGAACAGAGTAAGGGATCCCAGCTCCTACACTGGCTTGCCGAATAGGATTCTGCCCAGTGCCTGGAAGAAAGCGCAAAAGGGTCTCCTAGCAGTCATGGAGAAAGGTAAAACAGCTGGGTATGAGTGTGTGCAGAACTGCCAACCAGCTTGTCTACCCCTTGTGAAGCCTGCTGGCCAAGCTCCCACCAAAGGCAAAAAGGCCTAATACACTCTCTACCTGTCACACTGTAGCACTGGTAAGTACTGTCTTGTGCTGCTCTTTAGGTATTTTAGAGACACACGCATTGTGCTCTCCAGAGTTCTGAATACATTAAAACAGAACCAGGCTGAGGATATAGCTCAGTGGCATAAGCACCTGAACTGGTAAGTGCAAGGTCGAGTTCAATTCTCAGTACAATCAATCAATCAAACAGAACTATAGTATCTCCATTTTTTAAAAAAATCTTTATTGATTTGGTACAGTGTCTCACTACACAGCTCGGACTCATAGTGATCCTCTTGTCTCAGCCTCTCCAGGCCAAGTTTCGGTGGCCAGCACAACACAGAGTATTGGGGATCAAACTTGAGTCCTTGCCCCCCAGCCCAATTATCTTCATCTTTTGATAAGAGCTTGGTTTTTCCTTACAAGAGGAAAAGAACTTAAAACCAAGGATATCAACCAACTAGCGTTACTCATATACTTTTTTTAATGTATTTGGTATAGGGTTTCACTGCACAGCTCAGTCTGGTAGTGGTCCTCCTGTTCTCAGCTTCCCTAATGCTGGGATTACAGGCATGCGCCACCATAGTTGGTCTCATCCACCCAGGGGCAGGGCTGGTGCAGCATCTGGCATGCATCTGGTATCTGGGATTAAATCCCAGTCCCTGCAGTTGCTTAAGCAGGCACTTAGTCCACTGAGCTATATCACTGGCTCTACTCACATACTTCTTCTAAGGTATAACCTAGGTTATTTTTATTTTTTTTTTAATTTTATTTGTGTGTGTGTGTGTGTGTGTGTGTGTGTGTGTGGCCAGCTCAGCCCACCAGGGGGCGGGGCTGGCTGGCATGTGGTGCTGGGGGATTGAACCGCGGTCCCTGTGCTTTAGCTAAGCTTGTTCTAAGTAGGTGCTTTAGACCAGTGAGCCATCTCACCAGCCCCTAACCTAGGTTATATCAGTATTTCTAACTAGAGCCACAATCAGAGCTAAAAACACTTGAGAAGAAAAGAAACTAAAAGAGGAAACCCTCTGGCAAACTCTTTCCTTCTTTATTTTTCATCACATCATAGTTAAGTTACATACAGAACCAGAACTGATAAACAGTTTTCTGTAATTCAACTATGGGGACTCCTTTTAGTTAGGAAGACCGGACCACTTACATAAAATGGTATAAAAGCAAAGGAAGCCAAAGTTTTCTACTTTTCTCAGTTATTATCCATTCTCAGAGAGTGAACAGTAAATATTTATACAGCGGTCAGCTGCCAAACGTGTCACCAATGAAAATCTAGAGATTAGATTCATCACACCATTACTAATTTAAAATTAGGCTGGAAGCTAAAATCAGATAGTTGCTAGAGACTGAAAATAGACCCCAGAGGGCTGGGGTGTAGGTCAGTGGTACAGTGCTTGCCTAGCACTCTGGTGGTCCTGGGTTCAATCTCCTTCACCACAAAAAAGAAAGAAAATGTATCCAGGGAAAATAATTTAAGAGACAGTATCAACATATTCACTGAATTCAACTCATAAGACACTAGTTAATAATGACATTAATATTATATAAAGGTCAAGGGGGAGATAGCTCAGTAGAATAAGCACTTGCCTGGCAAGCGCAGGGTCCTGAGTTCAATCCCCACTTCCGCCAGAAAAATAAAATAAATTATATAGGATTCCAGCCTTTTTTTTTTTTTTTTAAAAAAACACAGAGAGATTTCAGCTTTTTAAGCTACAATAAATTACATATGTATTAAGTAAATTACTCCTCTTAAAATGTCCCACCCCCAAGACAGGATTAAAAAATGAGTGTTGCAGTTGGCTATGACTGTGTACTACTCCAGTCCCACCACTGTGAGGCTAAAGTAAGAGGAGCAAAACTTTCCCTTTGGGATGGGAATATCTCAGCAGCATAAGTGCTTACCTGGCTTAATCCTGCGAGCAAAGTCCTGAGTTCGATCCTCAGTACCAAAATAAGTTTCAGTTCATCCCAGCCAACTTAGCCATCTCTGCAGCCCCAAAAATTTCTTTTTTAAAAATTAAGTTTTGGCTGGGTGTGGTAGCACGCGCCTGTAATCCCAGCTCTTGGGAGGCTGTAAACAGGCGGATCACTAGGAGTCCGATCTAGTAGTGAGACCCTGAACACCCTGCAGACTCTTCCCTAAAAAAAGTATACAAAAAACAAAAAAAAATTGGGGCCAGGGAGATGGCTCAGTAGAATAAGCACTTCCCTGGCAAGCTCAAGGGCCTGAGTTCATTCCCTGGTTCCACCAAAAATAATAATAATAATAATAATAAGTTCATTGGTACATTTTATATATACATAATGATCACATTTATCCAGGGAATTTGTACCCATACAGGATATATCTTGATTCTTTTTTTTCTCCCATTCCCCTAACCTCCCTTCAACCACTCTTTCCCCAGAGTGAAGATTTCTCTCACAATGACAGGGCTTATTTCTAGATGCTGGAATAGTGCCAGGCACAGTCAGAGTTCAGTAAATGTTTGTTACATGATTATGAAGAATGGTTAGCTGGGTGATTCCGGAAGAAAGAGGACCACGGCGTGAACATGGGGAAACAAAAGAAAACAAGGAAGTCTGCGACCATGAAGTGAATGCTTAGTCTCAGAGATGAGAGACTCAAAGAAAAGGATTAAAACTTAAAAAGAAAGATCCTAGTGCGCTAAAGGAGAGAGAAGTCCCCCAGCGTCCTTCCTGCTTATTCTTCCAGTATAATACTCAGCTGGGCCTACCTTATCATATCCTGATACCAACTTTATTAACTTTTCCATCAAAGCCAAATTGGACTTCTTACAATTAGTGATAAACTATCTATATGCCAAGTGTGTCCCTTGTATAGCTGATTGTGTAATGGCAGAAACTGAGAAACTGGGACGAAGTATCGAGTGCCCTAAGGATTGCCAAGGATCCACAGTTTGAACGATTACCTTGCACACATAAAGGGACCTGCGCAGAGGACTGCTTAGTGCAGAGAGTAACTCAGCACAAGTATTACACTGTGGCCACAGTTGACTGGGACCCTAAACAGAGAATCCGGAAGATCCCTGGAGTTCCCATCATGTACATTTCTAGTCACAGATACAACACGGAACGGATGCCAGGTGAGTATGGAGCCCCTCGGTTCTGATTCTCACAAGTTCCTCTGCCTCCTTCCAACCAACTTTTGGTTTTCAGTTCATTCAGCATGCTACAGCATGGATTATTCACCTACTTGCTATATTATCAGCTGAGTACGGTTAAATAAATTTGCTTTTTAATGCTTTCTGAAAATTTAAAAAACAAATGAAGAATGGTTAAAGGATGGTGTAAGGATGACAGGTCTTTGGTCAGTCATTTATGTATTTCAGGCTATATTGTTTTCTCTTCAGTACTGGAGATTGAACTCAGAGTCTTGTACCACACATGTTCTACCAGTCCTTCTTAATTTGAGACAAGGTCTTAATAAGTTTCCCAGACTGGCCTTGAAACTGGGATCATCCCTGCCCTCCCTCAGTGGTGCTGGATTACAGGCATATGCCATCACGCTTGCCTACAGGTATTCTTTAAAGCCTGGGAGAATCACTGGACAGTAGTGTGGTTTTCCACAAGACTTTAAGGACAAGTTGAAGAGAAAAAAAAAAAAAAAAAAAGATTTTAGTGTTTCGGAGCCAGGGAGAGAGCTCAGAAGAATAAGTGCTTGCTTGGCAAGCACGGGGTCCTGAGTTCAATCTCCAGTACTGCAAAAAGTAAAATAAAAATGAAATAAAAATAAAATTACTTCAGGCTCGATGTTTAAGGTGTGTATTATACTAAATGTAAACTTTAGTCCAAACCCAAGAGATCTCCTTATGTACATACAAATATTACAAAACCTCAAAGAAAAACAAAAAAAAGAGAACCCAAAATCTAAAACAAATCCAAGGAGCCAGGGAGATGGCTCAGTAGAATAAGCACATGCTTGGCAAGCACAAGGGCCTGAGTTCAACCCCCGGTTCCACAAAAATGAATGAATGAATGAATGAATGAATGAATGAATGAATGAATAAATAAATAAATAAATAAAACAAATCCAAACAGGGCCAGGGAGATAGCTCAGCAACTTACGCACCTGCCTGGACAGTGCCAAGTCCAGAGTTCAATCCCCAGTACTGTAAACAAACAACAACAAATCCAAAATATGAAACACTTCTGGTCCCAAGTATTTCTCTTTCTTTTTTGACTTTTTTTTTTTTTTGGTGGTACCAGGGATCGAACTCAGGACCTTGTACTTGCCAGACAAGCACTTGTTCGCTGAACTATCTCCCCAGCCCCTGGATTTCTTTTGAGATAAGGTTTCACTGCACAGTTCAGGCTGGACTTGAACTAGCAAAGATCTTGCCTCCGTCTCCCAGCTGCTAGGACTATGGGTATGCACGCCTGGCTCCAGGCATTTCTAATAAGGAACATTAAACCTGTACATTGGTCAGGTCTCAAACCAGAGATTAGCACATAGAATATATGCTACTGATTGACCAAGAATACTGGACAAGGGGTTAGTGAGATGGCTCAGTGGTCTAAAGTACCTACTTAGAACAAGCTAAGCTAAGCAAAGCACAGGGACCGCGGTTCAATCCCCCAGCACCACATGCCAGCCAGCCCCGCCCCCTGGTGGGCTGAGCTGGCCACACACACAAAATAAATAAATGAATAATTAATTAATTTAAAAAAAAAATACTGGACAGAAAGTCAGACATTAACAGGCCTGGAGACATGAGGCTGGAGGCTACTTGAAAAGCAAAGAGGGCCAGGCATGGTGGTATATACATCTGTAATCCCAGCACTCAGGAGGCTGAGACACGATGATTGCTGCAAGCTGTAGGCCAGTCTGGACTGCACAGTGAATTTTTTTATTTTTGGTACTGGGGATCAAGCTCAGGAAACTGCACTTGCCAGGTGGGCACTTAAACTGCTTAACTTACTCTCCAGCCCTGCATGGTGAATTGAAGACCAGCCTGAACTACATAGGGAGACCCTGTCTCAAACGAACAACAACAAGGGGGCTGGGAAGACGGTTCAGTAGAATAAGCGCTTGCCTGGCAAGCACAAGGATCTGAGTTCAATTCCCGGTTCTCAAAAAAAAAAAAAAAAAAAAGCTGGGAAAACGGTTCAGTAGAATAAGCGCTTGCCTGGCAAGCACAAGGATCTGAGTTCAATTCCCGGTTCTCAAAAAAAAAAAAAAAAAAAAAAAAAAAAAAAAATTTTTTTCCCAAAGTTCCAAAAAAAAAAAAAAAAAAAAAAAAAAAAATGAGCAACAATAAAAAAGATGCGATGTTGCTTTTCTTTTTCCCTTCACTTTCTCAGTCATTAATTATAGAGAAAATCCACACAAACTTGTGGTTTCAAACTTTCATTTAACGAATATGCTGAGTACAGGTGCAGGGTCTGAACAATGTACCAGTCCTTATCATGGGTAAGGGCTTGGAAAAACCCTATCTCAAAAGAAAAAAAAAAAAATCCACCTAGAAAGTAAACAAAAACCCATAGGCCCACACAGAGCTCATTTTGCTTTTTGCTTACAGAAGCAATAAAATGCAGGGCCCACACAAAGTCTAAAGTATGGGTGAGGGGTTGAAAAACCTTGAGCCTCAAAACAAAGCGGAAGGGGCTGGAGAGATGGCTCAGTGGTCTAAAGCACCTACTTAGAACAAGCTTAGCAAAAGCATCAGGGACCGCGGTTCAATCCCCCAGCACCACAT